CAGCCTGACCTCAGCAGCTCTTGCCTTTTTCTATTTACATTTTTACATTTTCATCATAGCAGACAAGAGCAGCGTTGAAATCCTCTGTGAAACAGCTGGAAAAGGTATGTGGGCTGGAGGGAGGAGAGAGGAATTCAAAATTAATGTAATTTGTAAGTAATTGTATTATTGTAAGTAATTTGTGTCTGTATGTGTGTGTGTTTTACCTGCCTCTGCTGGCGCGCGGGCTGGCACTTTTTTTATGTTGGACATAGCAGCAGGGCTTTTGGACATAGCGGCATGGCTTTTGGACATAGCGGGACGCTTCTATGTCAGACATAGCGGCAGGGCTTTCGGATGCCCCGGCGCTGTGTCCGCTATAGAGGCGGGATGCCTCTATGTCAGACATAGTGGCAGGGCGGCTTTTGCCTCTAGCGCCAGGGTAGCAGGGCTGCAAGCGGGCAAAAGCCACCCTGCCACCCCGGCACTAGAGGCAAAAGCCGCCCTGCCGCTGCATCCGACATAGAGGCGTCCCGCGTCTATAGCGGACACAGTGCCAGGGCATCCGAAAGCCCTGCCGCTGTGTCCGACATAGGGTGGCTTTTGCCCACTTGCCTCACCAGCCATACACCTCACTGCACGTCACTGCCAGAAGGTAATCTTAAAATCCAGAAGGATTTTGACAGATTAGAACACTGGACCCTATCTAACAAGATGAAATTCAATGGTGAAAAAAGTAAAATTTTACACTTAGGCAAGAAAACCAAATGTATAGGTATAGAATGGGTGATACCTGGCTCAATAGCAGTAACTGTGAGAGAGTTCTAGGACTCCTAGTGGACAGCCACTTAAATATGAGCCAGCAGTTTGCTGCAGCTGCTAAAAAAAACCAATACACTCCTAGGCTGGATTAACAAAGGGATTTAATCAAGTTCACATGAAGTGTTGGTACCATTTTATAATGCCTTGGTAAGACCACACCTAAAATATTGCATCCAGTTTTGCTCACCATGATATAAAAATGATGTTTAGACTCTAGAAATATGGCAGAGAAGAGCAACAAAGATTAGGGTGTGGAGGCTAAAACATGAAGAACGGCTGCAGGAATTTGGTTGTATAGTCTACAGAAAACAAGAACTAGAGTTGACATGGTAGCACTGTTCTAATATTTGTGGGAACCCCAAGGAAAAGGGGATCAACCTATTCTCCAAAGCAGGACAAGTAGCAATGGATGGAACTTATCAAGGAGGGAACTAATCTAGAAATTTCCCGATAGTGGATGACTTTCCTCCAGAAATTGTGGGTACTCCATCACTGGAAATTTTTAAGAAGAGATTGGACAGCCATTTGTCTGAAATGGCATAGGGTCTCCTGCTTGAGCAGAGGGTTGGACTAGAAGACCAGCAAGATCCCTTCCAACTCTGTTATCTTATTATTCTTTTTTGCATCTCATGTTCTACAGGAGATTTAATTCTCACAAAGCATCATAAAGAAGCTTTTGGAGTTTGGGTGACAGGAGAATTCTAAGTAAAACATAGCAATATTTTTACATCAGAAGAGCTGAGTATAGCTGTGTTTGAAAAAAGATGATGATGATGAGAATGACGAGGAGGACAAAGATAGGCATTTACTGAAGATATAAGCATTTGAAAGTATATTAGTCTAAGTAGAAAAGCTTAATTAAACTTACCAGATCAGAAATCAAAATTCCAAAGATGAAAAATGAAATATTTTGGATAGAATTGCTCATTTTATATTTTGTTTACCATTAATTAAAAACCAAGTCCATGAAACTCTCAGTTGAAATAATCAACATATTATTAATATGTTCAGTATGACCTCTAGGCAAAATAAACTTGAGGATGTACTGGGAATTCATATTTCACATTCATAATTAGTTCCAACCTCCATTGCAGTTCACCAAGAAGCCTTATTATGTAGCTTGATCTCTTTCATCTTGAAATACTAATTTGCAGATTGAAGGATTATAGATTAAAGAACCCCAATCAGACTATGATTGGGGTCCTTTAATCTATACATCACTCAATCTCTTTTATCTTAAAATATTAACTTGTAGATTGAAGGCAGAAACAACAAAGCTAAAACAATAATGGCAAGTAGTAAAAGTACCTGCTTTTAAATCATGCAGAATTGACAATCCAATGTTGCATGTGAGATGCACAGATAGTCCTTATTTTACAACCATTCATTTAGTGGTTAAAAGTTACAGAGGCACTAAAAAAGTGACTTATGATTATTTTTCACACTTACAACCTTTGCAGCATCCCCATGATCACATGATCAAAATTTGGACACTTGGCAACTGGCACACATTTATGATAGTTTTAATGTCCCAGGGTCATGTGATCACCTTTTGCAAACTTGTGATAACGAAGCCAATGGGGAAGCGAGATTCATTTAATGACCATGTTACTATCTTAACAATCCTCACTCTTTTCAGAGGTTCTGAAATTAATCTTGAAATATCCCTGGCTTCCATAGTCCTTGCATACTTTCTGAAATGCTTTCTACTTTTAAAATAATGTTCTACATTATATTTACTAAATCATAGGGGTGACAGATAAATGAGATCATGTAGCCATTTCTTTTGAGCCAGGTGGGCCATTCCTTTGCCCATGGGGGCAGTTTGCAGTAGCCCAGCAGCAGGAAGTAGAAGAAGATGACTCAGACAAATTTTAATCTTGAAAAAAAAAAGTAGGTTTTAATTTATTTATTAATAAGATTTATATGGCCATCCATCTCAGAAGATGTGACTCTGGGTGGTATACAATAATCAACTATTCAAAATACATACATACATACATACATACATACATACATACATACATACATACATACATACATACATA